TCATCAATAACAAAATAGAAAATTATGCGTTGAACTGTAACATTAGATAAATCATCCAAATGTTAATTTCTGCAGAGAATTTGTTCTGGAATCTCTCACAAGGTAAATGGGAAACATGTGAATGTGTTGAGTGATAGCAAGAGACACTCTAAACGTTAATTTCTCTGGGAGCTTTTCACAGGGTAAGAGGGAAACATGTGAACACTCATGAGTTTGGTGCGAAGAATCAATGCGGTTATATATATTAGGCATAGTGCATGCTTTTTTGTGCACTCTTTTTTCTGGGGCATTAAAGCACAACACTAGTGTTTCTGTGATTGTCCATTCATACTCTACATTCTTGTCCCATCCCATCTGATTTTCTTTTTGAGGGAAGTGATAGATACCCTTCAGTTAGTAATTGGATTCTTGATTCTGAATTTAAGTTTTGTAAATATTACTATAGAGTTTGGATTAAAGCTATGATAGCCGGATATGTAGGTAACCTTCTAGTTAGCCAACTAAAAAAAATGGTTGCGAGCAAATATTGAGTTAAACGAAAATGACTTTTGTCTAGAATTTACTGAAAAAGCAGTGACATACAATACTTTTCACATAATATTTTTGACTAACACATAAAATGGATCATAGGAGTAAATGTCATTGGAGAGAAAATCTCAGTTGAGCCAGCTAGGAGGTGGCCAGAAAAAATCAGTGTAACCGGGGAAACATGCCATTGGCCCAATAAACGCGTTCTCCATGTCAAATCCCCCAAGTGAATAGTCATTTTCATGTTTTAGCGCATCCCAAAAATCATGGAGATCTCCATCCCCAGCTTTCCTGAATTGATCTATGAAGTAAACTAAATTTCCTCTGCACCCTGGAAAATCTTTAGCAGACACACAGTAGGACCAATACGATGCATCATCTCCAACAAATATGACTTGGTCATTCAAGTTTGTAACTTCCTTCCAATAATGCTCCTCTTCCTCAAATTTATACACTCTGAATCTAACCTCCATATCGTATTCTGGTTGCTTTGCATCATCATCAGAGGTTGCAGCATGTTGTTCAGCGTAATTTGTTTGCTCAGATGGTTTGTCCAAGTACCTGTCCACTAGAAATAGATCTGCATCCCCTGATGATTTCACCAAGTATGATCGGTGCTTACGAAAGTAACCGTTCCTGTTTGGATGAAACAGAGGATTTGTAACTAGACTCACTTTGGAACAACAATCCACCATAACTCCTCGCCCATATTGATCAATAGCGAACCATTTCTCCTTATACTTCACCACATCATGATAAAAAGGCTTTTTCAGGTTATGGTCTCTAACAAGACCATCCATCAAATAATTTAAGATAACTCTCTCTCTTGTATTAATTGTAAACAAAGACACCTTTCCACTTCCAAGAACAGCAGCTGCTTTCGGAATACGTCCGTCAGAGGATTGTCGGAGAGTGGAAAGATAAACAACTTTACCAATAAGATAGCGATTTGTGTGTGGATGAAACATCAAGGAAGATTTATGCAGTATAGAGACGCGAAATTTGTTCAAATTAATCTCTCTTGGAAACAACAAGTTTGATGGTGATGAGGAGATAGGAATAGGACTTCCAGTGACAGGGTTCAATAGGTGGAGTTGGCTTTGGCCGTCTCCGTTGAATTGTTCCGCCACAGCTATCAAATAACTGGTGGGTGACGGTGATGGTGATGGAAGTTGTTGAAGATCAAGCCGGAAAACGAACCTATTCATGCATTTACTTTGAGGCTTTTTACTGCCAATGTATTTAGGGACAATGGAGAGTCTTTTATGAAGGGGAAATAATGGAACTGCGGATCTCCAAGAGGTACAAACAGCACGAAAATGACCAACTTGAAATGAATATTTGAGGCACTTACTGATCTTAACAAGTAGTTCTTCAGGAAGATCAGCCCATATGGGCCAAGAATACAGCTTCTTCATCTTCTTCTCTTTCATCTTCACCAAAACTGCAGTTTAGTCGTAATGGACTTGAATATCACGCTACTTGGAGATATCTTTAATCTTATATTATAGTCCATGACAGTACTGAAGCAACTACCTATTGGTTGAGATGAAAATGGAATAGAGACATGAAACTTTTGGAGTACACAGCTCAACTATACTTTTTCTATGAAAAGAGTACATTAATGCTCTTTTGAAAAAAATGTAAAGCTAACTAATTTCCTTAATAAATTAATTAATATCTCATCCGTTTAAAAAAGAATGATCTAATTTGATTTAATATAAAATAAAAAAGAAAATTTTTTTTAATTTTGTGATCCTAAATTGAAATAATATAAAATATACTAAAATATCATTTAATCTTGTGATCTTAACATGTCATGAAAAAATTAAAATTAAATTTTTAACTAAAAAAATCATTCTTTTTAAAATTAACTTAAAAAAAAATAGAAAGGAGTTTTTAAAAAAAAAAGAAAAGAAAAGAAAAGGGGGACTAGGCACTAGGGGAGTAGCTGGTACATTATCTCGAGTAGCACCTTCTTTATTTTTCACCTAATAATTAAAGGATTGTCATTTACACGTCCCACCTTATGAGGAACACTTCTTCTACTTTTCTTTTCTTTTTTTATTTTAGCAAAAGTCCCACGTGTGAAAAATGAAGAGGGTTAACCATTTCAACTATTTCAAACCTAGCATCAAATTTTACATAAAATTTTCATTTAGCGTAAAATTTAGTTTTTTGGTGCCTCACCCCGACATTAGATTACACACTATTTTAGTGTGAATATTATTACGTTAAATTTGACATAACGTTATTTATCACACCAATTCATTTTATTACATATTTTAATATTATTTTATTATACAATTTTTTTAATTAAATAGTATAGAAATAATATATTTTAATTAAATTTTTGATATATTTAATTATTTTTTATGTAATATTGATTTTAGATATAAAAATCAGTTTTTTTTATAAATTAATTTTTCAAGATGCATCGAAAGGTCTAACTCCGACTATAGAAATGACAATAGATAAAAATTATTAATTTTAACAATTTCTAGCTCGACATAAATAATAAATGAGAAAGAAATTCATTTTAAACAACATACTGCATTAATAAAGCATTTATGAGAGAATCATAGTGATCTTGAAAGTTAAATATTTATGTAAAATTTAAAATAATTTTTTCAATTGTGTAATATTTATTTAATTTTATTTCATTAATGATTTCACTTTTATTTGTATTATCCATTATTATGTATAATGTATGATCTTTGCTAACAATTTATATTAATTAAAAAATCATGGTATAAAATAACTTTACATTAAACGACTATAAAAGAAAATAATATGAATTATATAAGAATAATGCACAAATACACCCTCAACTTATGTCCAAAATCTCAGAGACACACCTATACTATACTAAGATCCTATAAAAGCCTTAGTATAGTATAAGTGTGTCTCTGAGATTTCAGACATATGTTGAAGGGTACTTATGCATTTTCCCAATTATAGGGTGAATGTTTTAGAAAGAATTTGTTGTAAGAAATAAAAAATATATAAATAAAATAAAAAATAATAATATAATAGTAAAGAGAGAAAAAAATATTTTTTTTGGTATAAAATTTGGTACAGTGAATTGGAGTTAATTTACTCTTAAAAAGTGCTATCACCAAATTTGTTTGGGTTGCCGATGCCCGAATTAAAGGATAATCATATATATATGATAATGTTTCCTAATTCCCTATATACATAGATAGCAACTCTTTCGACTTTCTCCAATCGAAGGAAATCGGAGTCTCTCGTGTATGGTCTTCTTTTTTTACCTGTTAAAGGGACTTGGTGCAACAAAGTAATTGAGATTATTGTCGTTTAATTAGATATTTTTATTTGACTTTGTTAAATAATGACAAAAGTCAATATCGATAGTTAATGATATGAGTGAACTTTTTATAAGGCTTAGACAATCATTCTTTCTTTGAGCTAACTTTTGGGGTGTGAGTTAGATCTAAGACCTAATTTAACATATTATCAGAGCAGGGTCCGTCTCACCCAATGTTGGGGTTCCCTAAAATAAAAATTGCACATGCACTAGATGCTAAGCACTGAGCGTGAGGTGGAGTGTTAAAAAATAACGAAAGTTCTATATTGATGGTTAACGAGATGACTGGACTCCTTACAAGGCTTGCGTAATCCTCACTTATTAACTATGCAAAAAATCTTTGGTATGAGTGTTAACACAAATGAGGCTTATGGTGTAAACTCAAATTAGTTAAATTTAAATATGAATATCGAACGAAAAAAATAAATAAATTGTGTTTTTGACTTTATTTCCTTTTTAGAAAAGTTTGTGTCTTCGTGCAAGTATATTTTTGTTAGCATGTTGCATTTTGCTTTTTAGGAGACGAGAGGGTACTAAAGTTATCTCATCAAATACGTATTTGTATAATTATTATATAAAATATTATTTCAATCGTATGAATTGAATCTAGGAAACACATTTAAAAAGTCAACATTTCTATTTTATTTCAATAATTGATATTTTTTTGGTTAGTCAAATATAACTTTTTGATATTGAAAAAAACAATTTTATAAAGTATAACTATTTAATTATATCATACTTATGTTATCTTTTGTGATCTAATTGGATATCAAAAAATTAAATTAAATTAAATTTATTTTGACTCAAATTAAATACTTTTGTTTTTATTTTCTTTTTAATCTATTTTAAAAAGATTGGTTCTTTTCTCTCTTTTTTTATAACATTTTAACTTTAACTTTTTACGTTTAAGATCACAAAATTAAAGAATATTTTGATACATTACAATTTTAATTTAGAATCACAATAATTTAAAAAAATAATAATTTAAACTCGTCATAGTAGATCATTCTTTTTAAACATTAATTCCTCGAGGTAAATCATGCGAGATCAAACTGAAATATTGATTACAAATACCAACCTAAAATAGTGTGTACTATTTAGCTTATAAAACTCAAATTTGACTTGTTTCATTTTAATTTTATGTTTAAAAATTTCAATACAAAATAAGTGCCCTAATCAGTTAATCAGTACAGAACCCCAATTCCAAATCTCTCATCTTCATCGGCTCACTGCCACTGTTACCTCAGTGCCGGCGGTGGACTCTCCGGTAAAGATTTTTCCGATCTCATACTCCTCTTCTCTGCTCCTATTTATTCCAATCATGAATAATTTCTACGTTCGTTTTTGATGCTCGTATTTTTCTTTAGCAGAAAAATTTAGTGAATTCTTTACAGGTTAAGTACTTGATGGTATTTCTTAGCTGGACGCGTCCATCTCCTGAAGAGCAGAAAGCATGTATCAACAAGTAAAGAATGCCCAGAACTTGTTACTGGCTTCGTTCCAATTTATTTGTCTTATCTTGCTTTTTAATCCGTTTACCAGAGATTCTAGACCGCTACATCGTTTTGGGACACTCTACGTATGTTTATTTTAAGATTAAACTCTGTGTCAACTCAACAAATTGAAATAGAATGAGTAATTTATTTATTTCCCTTTCTATTGGTTTAATTGTGGGAATCATTATTGAGGGTTTCGTCTGTAACAGGTCTGGTTCCTTTAACTATGATAAAAGATTTAGAGGAACTACTGAGAAACCTGCTCCTCTACTTAAGCAAGACAGTGAGCTTGCAAAGGATGGTTTCTCTGTTAATTGTGCTCGAGTATTAGTCGGTTCAGGCCGTGAGACTTTTGAAAAGGGAAAAGCTGCCCTTCAAAATTGGAGGTTTGGTATATCAGTTATTCTTGTAGAAATATCATGCGATCAATGGTCTGATTATGTACCAAACTAACTTTGCAGGCATTTTGGATTGAATTGGGCGTTTGTTGATCCAAAAGCTCAAATTCAAAGTGGGACAAAGTTCTGTGTTTGTGTGAAGGAGTTCTTCCCGTGGCTTATGATGCCTCTACAGGTTGTTTATGTTAGCGAGAACAAGAACTCGAAAAAGGGGGCTTCGTTTAGTTTTGGCAGTGGAACTCTGCAAGGACATTTGCTGGTCAGTTTGCTCTCCTTGTTGCAATTGTTTGTCTTACACTATACCTTTCAACTGTTCAGGTTTTCTGGTTATGATATCATTAGGTTCATTTCAATCTAGCTATATAAAATAAACATTAAGGATTTAAGATTATGTTTCCTTTACAAGCTGCTAACCCAGCCATTGCAAAAGGTTAATATTAGTAGTGGTAGTGTCTAAGTCCAACACAATGCTTACTAGAATGGTAATGTTTTGTCCTATTTTCCATGTTTGAAGTTTTAAGCTTACCATACATCTTAGACCTATCATTCTCCTTTATATTGCTGCATGTAAAACTTGACAATATATGAGTTTGTGATACCAAGTGTTTGAGCAGGCTGGTGAAGAACGTTTTTCAATAGCATTGGACGAAAATGATCTAGTTTGGTACGAGATACTTTCCTTCTCGAAGCCTGCACATTTGCTGTCACTCTTTGGATACCCTTATGTTCTTCTAAGGCAAAAGTACTTTGCTCATCAATCAGGTAGTGCGGTGAAGAAACATTTATCTGCTTAAAACATGTGAGGCTATAACTGTGTGTGAACAGGAACTCTTTGTTGTAAAAGATTCCCATCCATAGTTATGTTGGGTCTTCATTTCATGTATATTTCTTTGCATTATATGCACGACCTAGTTACTAATAATGCAATTCTAGTCCTTGTTAAAGAAAAATGTAATTGTAGTCCAATAGCTGGATAATCAGTGTGATTTAATTAAGTGAATGCATAGAAGAAAAACTATGCATAAGAACCCAATAGCGAGAATCATTTCAAGAAAGGGTCATTCCATTCTAATGTATATCTCTCTACTTCTCCATCTTCCTTTGAATAGCTGTTATTCTTGTTCTGGTGGACCTACAGAAGTGCGAATCTGAGTTCCTTATTCACGGGATGGTTAATTACAGTCGTTTCCTAGGCCTCTCCCTCTCCTCCCCTCCCAGAAGAAGAATTAAAACAAAACGATCATGTTCATCTGCTTTCTTCTTCATGACTCAAAAGAGAACTTAATAAACTGTATAATCAGTTAAAGTAGAAATATACAAACGCAAATCGATTTAGTCGTTAAAACTATAGCTATGTAAATGTGCAAACTCTAGCCATTAACTAACACAAAAGAAGCAAAACTAATACCAAACGAAGTTCCTAAAATGTTCTGTTCATTAGTCATTAACTAAGACAAAAAAGAAGCAAAAGCAATACCAAAAGCAATTAAAGGTGAAACGACAACTTAGAAAGTACACAGAGCAAATGGATTCTTGCATCTCTTCTTCAATACTTGATCTCTCTTGCTGTATCATCCTTGTTTATGTATAGATAATAACGACTCTGCAATTTCCTGTTTGAGTGACAAGTTACAATTAGGCCAAACACTTTTAAAAAAATGAAACAACTTTGAAGACTTACATGATCATGTGGATGAGGCTCATCCTCACCGTTAAGCCAAGATGGTGGTGGCCATAAAATTTCTGCATAATCAAGGGATGATAACAGCGATCCAAGTTTACCATCTTCTATGGTAAATACATAGGTGTTATCATCAAATACTCCTTTGTATCTATCTACCACTACTTCACCTGATTTGCTAGTAGAAGCATTAATCCTGTGATCACCATTGCTAATACTGGTGCTGTCACCATAATTGCTAATAGGGTAGCTAATCTCATCACCACCAACAACATCATCATCAAGAGGACAACAACAACCACACATACCAAAATCATCGTCACTGTCTTCATCGTTAAAATACATCGACCCCTTTGCATAGTAAAGGCAGTTTCCTCTACCGTACTTATCACCAAAATCACGCGATGAAACAGAGAAGCAACAGTCACTAACAGCAAAGAAAATTCGATCACCCAAAGTATGCACTTCAATCCACTCATATTGTTTTTCATCCAATCGGTAAATTTTAATTTCATGGCTGGCATCCTTGCCGAAATCTGAACTTTTATCAACCAAAAACAACTGCCCTCCTGATTCCACCAGTCGTTTCTTCTTCTTACCACCGGATAATCTGGAAGCCACCTCCTCATCAAACGAGGAATCAATTTTCGTGGTCTCACCATAAAATCTGGAAGCCACCGTCGTCTCACTAAACGAGGAATCAAATTTCATGGTCTCACCATATCGATCAACAGCATGAAAATTCCCCTTATATACAATTATATCATCAATGTAAGAACTGGAATTTTTTAACTTAGTCCACTTGTCATTTCCAGAGTTCAAATAACATAACCGATTATCACGATCAATAGCCATTAAAGAAAAACTATCCTTCTCACTCCCTCCATTGTGGTTCATAAGAAGCAAAATTTTCCTAACATAACCTACATCATAATCACTGAACAAAGGTTTCGACGGAATGTAGTACTGCACATGATAAGATTTGCAAACCTCAGAAACGCGAAAGTCCAGTAAATTCAATACCTTAGGCATATGATTCTGTATTTCCCTGCCTGTCAGTGGATTCAAAACCTTCAATTTTCCATCTGCTGTTTTTATAACCTGGATCAACCATCCTTTACAAGGCGAATCAATTGAATCTCCGTCAAGTGGTTGAAAAATGTAAACAGTGCTTTCGATGAGATAGTAACCAGGCCTTCCTTTATAAATGTTACGGTCATCGAGAGGGTAGGGGATTTCAACAGGAAAATGAGGAACTGTTTTGAAAGGAGCAAGTGATGAACGCCATGTTGTGCAGACTGAACGGAAGCGAAGAACGTCAATTTGAGTGTCCAGGCAACTACCGATCCTCTCGGCGAGTTCTTTCGGAAGATCAGACCATGGAACGTACCTTCCACTGCCCACAGTTTGCTGCTCCATCAGAGCTTGGATGATAAATTAATGCCCTAGTATTGCTGCTATATATTTTGGGGCAGGCGGAGTGAAAACGTGAACCGCTTGGGATCCCTATAACAGTTGTCAACCCAACGCGGATTCTGCGCATCCGTTATTGTTTTGGCAATAAAATTTATATCCAGCTGGTAATTTTTTAAAATACATCCTTTTTCTTTTTTGTATACGCTTATGTGGCTAACAAAATTGTTTTCCAAAGTTATATTATTTTTTTTAATTGAGAAAATACATTAATTTTTTAAAACTATTTTTCGAAATAATCTATTAAACGTTAGAGTATAGATTTCTTTTCTATGTGAATTGTTTTTTTTAAAACATTTTTTGGAATAATCTATTAAACGTTTGGCCAATAGATTATAGATTTATTCTCTATGTGCACTCCAAAGGCGATATGTTGGTGTTTTATTCGAAAAACATGTGATTTAAGTAGGTTTATTTTGTAGGTTATATTTGGAAAATTTTGCTAACATCTTCTCACATACAACTAGGTGGCTACAGGCTTGCCGGGTCAGCCCACTTTTTAAAAAAATATATTTTTTTATAATTATTAAATTAAATTTTAAATTATAATTTAAAAATATTATCATAAATATCGACAAATTAATTACATGCTTGCCATTATAATTTCCTTTATTCATATTAACTTAATATACATCTTTTACTTTCATAAATTAATCAATATATTTGAATTGATAAGCACTCCCATGATATAATATTTAGTACGGTTTCAAAAAATAAGAAAGTATTAGTTATTTGATCGATAACAATAATAAATTTCTATAATAAAATAAAATATTTTTCTAAACTATATATTTATTACTCTATATAAACTATTTTAAATTGCATTATATTAGATTCTCAAAATATTTTGAGTGAAAAAAATAGTCATATTAATGATGTAACTTGATGTTGAGTTCTTAAAAGATAAATCATATTACCTTGTTACGGTAAAAAATGTTCAATATATTATTTTATATAAAAAGAAAAATTATTTTGCTGACAAGGTTTTAATAATATTTTATTGATATAATGTTTAATTTCATATGTGCATTCATATATAGAAAACAAATTGTTCCAATAATTTAGTGTTTAGATTCAGAGACAATATTTTAATATTCAGATGTTTATTCAGATTTACACATCTAGATCTTAATGCACATCTTTATATTTAAGCGCGTATTCAAATTCAGACGTCTTAATCTTAATGTAAACAAATGAGACCTTAATGTCACTACTTGTTAATCAAATTCACAAATAAAATTATCTTTATAATATATAGGGAAAATACATAAGTACCCCCAAGACTATGACCGAAGTCACAAAGACAAAAGGTGTATAAAATTACCAAAAAAAAAAGTTTAGGGGGTAATAGGATCTTAGTTTAGTTAAGGTGTGTCTCTGGATTTTGGTCATAGTCTAAGGGGTACTTGTGCATTTTTCTTGATATTTATTAATTTTTCTTTTCAACTAAAAGTATAAATATGTAAATAGAAATATTAAACTAATTGTTTTGATTTTGGACTCTCTTTATTTTTAAATTTTAATATTATATTATATTTTTAATTAATTTTTATTGGCCCACGGACCAGCCCTATCGATATTTCTCAAGCCCCCAAATGAGCAGGCTTATTCAGGCCGGTCTAAAAAGCCCTTTTCTTAAATGGACTTCAAAAATTTTAGCTCAGCCCTATTAAATCCCGGGTTAGGCCAAGTCGGCCCAACGGACCTATCCCATATTGACGGCTCTATCTCTCTCTATAAAACTCTATGTCATGTTGGATTCATGTGTTCTTTATACAAGTTTAAGTGTCTGTTTATGTAGATTTAAAATATAAATATAATTCGAGGACAAATTAAACGACGCATTCATATATTATGCTTAAAAATGATAAAATTACTTACCAAAACATGATATATCTAATTCAGTATGATATTTGTTTGTACATAGAGTTTTAATAATTAATTATAATATAGGGAAACTCTCACATAGCCACTTAAAAATAATTATTTATTCTCCGTAGTTATAGTTTGATAATTACAATTTGTAACTACATGTTATATGGAGAAGAGAGGCGAACTAGACTGGGAGAAAGAGGAGAGAGGTGAGAGAGAAGAGAGAAAAAGTGGGAGAAATGTGAATTGTATATATGTATATTGGTTAAATAATTGTATATTATACATATGTATTTGTATAATATTAATCGCGAATGGTAATTATAACAAACTATAGCTATGATAAATAATTAAATAGTATAAGTTGCTTAGCCACGTAATTTTTTCCATATATATCCAAATGAGAATTTGCTTCATAATCCATTTACTAATCAAATTAATTTTATCCTGATCGGTTAAAATTCGTAAATTCATATTTTTAAAAACTCATCATCAATACTAATTATTGTTAATTTTTTTTTAAAAAAAAAACTAATTAGTTAAAGATAAATTAATTTTCCCAAAAGTGAAAAGTACTTTTTGGAAAAAAAATATTTTTAAAAAGATAATTAAAAGCTTGACATTAGGTCGAAGGCAATAAATAGATTAGTTTAGGCTACTCGCCTATTAATTATTCATTTTACTCCCACAGTTAATAGATTAATTGGGCTATTAGCCTATTAATTATTCATTTTACTCACTCAGTTTCTCTTTAGTTGTCTGACATTTTTTTTTTATAATTTGATTAATTTTTAAAAATATATTAAATTATATTTGATATTTTAAAATAAAATATTAGATATTAAAAAAATTTAGTATAATGAAAAAATATACTAAAGATGTTAAAAAAATTGACACTTTGTGGTCTACCGGGGCAACTGCGGATCTTCTCTACAATTGTATATTATATGGAGCATTAATAGTCCTTTATGTTTGCAATATTGGTACACTTTTGGTCCTCCTCCAAAATTTTACCTATTTTTTAACATTGATTTTATTTATAACCTATGT